CCAGGGAATTCTGGGAACCAAAATGGGTCAGGGAGTGGGAATTCTGGGAAACCAAAATGGGTCAGGGAGTGGGAATTCTGGGAAACCAAAATGGGTCAGGGAGTGGGAATTCTGGGAAACCAAAATGGGACTGCCCAACGTGCCTGATCCTAGTCGGATCCTAGTCGGATCCTAGCAGCTACTCAGCTGAGAAGAAGATTGGGTTAAACTTCTCCTTGCTTCTGCCTGCCCTGATATTTCTTGGATTGATTTCTGGGTGTTCTCTGTAGCTGTTCTTAAGAGTCGGGGTTCTGTATTTAGTGGTAGCGATACCCAGTTGCACCTACCCAAATGCCTCACCTTTCTAGCCCTGACATGAGTTTAAAAGTGTACACATTTAAATAAAAGTTTCGCCCCCCACTAGAATCTACCAGTTCCTAGTTGAAAAAATTCAAGCGGATTTCTTAAAAAGTGGTATATCCTGCACATCCCAGAATCAATGTTTTCCCAGTTTTAAAAGGATTTGCGGCTTGCCTGAGATGGCTATGAAAATAAAAAGTTCCCACTTGTGAACACAAAATGTTATCCAATTATATGTGTGTGTAACTCGGGTGGGGAGGCAGCCACGAATTATCTGTGTTTTGTTCTCCACAGCTTTTTTGCAAGACTTTGTCCCCCTGGCAAAATAGCTTCTTGGAAATCTGCCGCAGATGAAGAGATCTACCTATTTCCGCACCTACTTTCCATAATTTCTTATCTCGGAGCAATAACTTTGCCTAAAGCCTTAGCTGGAAAACAGGCATTGATGATTATTATTACTATTATTATTAAGCATCATCATCATCCTCTTTTCACCCAAATGCACCTGGGATAATCAGTAATCTGGAATAGATGATCCATTCCTTCTCCCTTGATCTTTCAAGCTCGCTCCGACGTGAGGTGAAAGATTTATGCCCCAAGCCTTAGTTGCTGGAGACCCGACATTGGCGTTGTGCATCTTGCCTGGGCACCATGGTTGTGTCCACGTTTTTGGATTGTTTGGGCTGGGGCCGGTTGCAGGAGCTCGGACGGAGGGAAACACACCAGCCGGAGCCGTCTTCCTTCCGGAGATGCGGCGGCGGTGCGAGGAACGTGTGCCGCTTTTGGAAGCCGCTGCAACCAGTCAAGTGCTATCCAAAAGCCTTACCTCCTGTGCATCGCTGTAGGTATTGGGATCATTTCGAGGGCTCTCTCTAGCCAAGCCTTATTTATTTATTCTTTAAAGCTTTTGTAGACCGTCTCATTACTAGCGTCTCAGGACGGTTTGCAACAGGTACAAGTCAAAAATAGCACAGCGTCCAGCAATTCACAATGAGATCACAGTTGAAACCAATTAAACATTAACATAATGGGAAAATAAGGTTTTCGCCTGGTGCCAGAAAGAAAAAAGGGTTGGCGCCAGGCAAACCGCTCTGGGGAGCGTATTCCACAGAGAAGGCCCTCCTCGGGGTAGCCACCCTCCTGATCTCCTTCAAGGAGGGCTCCCGGAGAAGGACCTCTGCCTCAGATCTAAATGGGTGGGCGGGCATATAGGGAAGAAGGCGCTCCTTCAGGTATCCAGGTCCCAAGCCGTTTAGGGTTTTATAGGTCATCCCCAGCACCTTAAATCAGGCCCGGACTCTTGTGGGGGCATCCCAGCTGCCAGCCCCTACCTTTGCAAGAGGAATTTGCATTTCTACTGGAATCATCAAAGGCCACCGAGACCCTTCCCAAAATGAAATTAGGCCCCAGAGCGGGGGGGGGGGGGGGGGTTCTGGACACACACATTACAACAACCCTGTAAGGTAGATCAGCCATTTCAGAGAGCGTGGGAAATTCTGTGAACTTAAGAAGTTGTGGGCATGTCGTGAGCGGAGCTGGGGGTCAGACTCGATGGCCCGGGAGGCCCCTTCTGACTCGCGCCGTTTCTATGTTTCTAAGTCCAGCTTAGCTGTCTGGGGGAAGAAAGGAACATTTTCCACTTGCGATGGTTACGTTGAGAGAATCGGAATCTGAGACTGGGGCTTCCTCACTTTTGACCCACTGCTGTTGGCCCACAGAGCACTCGGTCCTGGCAAAATAGCTTGCTGGACCCTTGGGGAATTTACGTTCAGGTCCAGCAACCGAAGGGGTCAGATTTGGGTGCTTGACGTTCTCCTGCTTTCCGTCAGCAAAAGCATCATTAAACGGGCCGTGTTTCTAGTTCCCCTTCTCACCAACGTTCAAGAGAATCAGGCGAAGGATTGGGGGTCCCTATGGAGGGTAAGGGGGGAGATGGGGGCATGGCCTGCCTTGTCATGGGGCCAGCACCAAGCCCTTCATCTCCGCACGAGCCGAGAGCTTGGATCTTTGCAACGTTTGAGGATCAGCTTTCCTGGGCAGAATAACGCTTTTCGTGTGCGCATGACTCCATTTAGGGCCATCTTTGGGAGAAGGCCTAGCATACACATAATATTTGGGTGTCTGTGTCAGGAAGTGGTTAAAATCCAGGCTTTCCTTCCAATTTTTTCTCCATGGGTGACCTCCCCTTTCTCTTCATCTCCCCCCACCCCGCCTCCCTCTCTCTCAGAACTAGCCCTTATAAACAAGTGATGTGGGCCATTAACTCTCTGTAACAGATGCAACGGCTGGGATTCTTGGGGTTTTTTTTGACATCTGGGGTCAATTATTGACTAGGTAATGAATAGGGAATCTGTGCTTGAGGTCTAAAATCAGGCACCTGGGATTAGCCATCCCTTTCCATCCGGCTTGGGGGGGCGGGGGGGGGTGGGATGGAGGAACACCCCCCCGGTTTGCAGTCCAGAATTCAGCAGTCAAGTTTGGGAGGGGCTCGGGAAAACGGGGGGCATTTGGCGATGCCCAGTCCCACTGACTCACTCGTTTGTTGCGCGGGAGAAAGCGATCCCAAGAACATTCTCCTGGCAGGTCAAGGAGCCTTGTGTATGTGTTCGCATGTGTAACCATGTCCATGGCAATACCTGATCATGGCTCGTGTTGGGCGGGTTTGCTTGACCCTCTTAGCTGGGTTAGCTGGAGATATTTTGCTGGCCGAGGTGAGAAGCCGGATGGACCGGCAGGTGACTCTTTCTCGGAGGTTGGCCGTGGCGCCAGGAGGTGGCTTCCAGAAGGTAGACCGAAGGCGCATGATTCGAACGCAGCTCTCTTCCCCAGTGCCTTGTTGGGCACCCGCTGGCACGAGTGGAAGGAGGGTTCCCCCCTCGGCATAATTTCCAAGCAGGGGTGCTAGATCATTAGGAAGGCTGAGCGCCGAAGAATTGAGGCCTTTGAATTGCGGTGCTGGAGGAGACTCCTGCGAGTCCCTTGGACCGCAAGGCGATCCAACCAGTCAGTCCTAGAGGAGATCAACCCTGGCTGCTCTTTGGAAGGCCAGATCCTGAAGATGAGACTCTTTTATACTTTGGCCACCAAATTAGCAGGAAGGACTCCCTGGAGAGGAGCCGGATGCTGGGAACAATAGATGGCGAAAGGAGAAGGGGACGGCAGAGGAGGAGGTGGCTGGATGGGGTCACTGAAGCAGACGGTGTGAGCTTAGGGGGACTCCAGGAGACGGTGAGGAAGGCCTGGAGGAGTGTTGTCCTTGGGGTCATGCCCTCTTCCCCATGTGCTTGGGCCTCCTTCCAAATCTACTTTGCCTGACACCGAGGCTCGCAAGAAAATGCTTCCCCTGTTTGCAAGGAGACATGTGTCTTTCCTGCAGATCTTTGTCATAGGGTTAGTGGCTCACTGTTTGCTTTTGCAAAACTTCACTGCATCTTGCCTGCTCTGCTTTCTGCGGAGGCTGCCCATCCGGCCCAAGGGTGGAGCTGCGCACCTCGTTTTTATCCCTCTCCGGTGGGCCTGGGGCCAGCCAAGCGCCGCCCTTTATCTCTGAGGATGCTTAGAAACAAAGCTGCTTCTGCTGAAGATAAACAGTTGATTGAATATGGTGATAAGATGAGGATGCGGGATATAAACAAGCGAAGGAATGTTTTCTCTCCCCTCAGCTGTGGCTATATTGGTTCCCTGAATAGGGTAGGGGATCGGCAAAGTTGCCCGAGGGGCAGGTCGCTCCCCCTCCCCAAGCCAAGGACAAAGACAGTGCCTCTTGCCGTGGGTTTTATAAAGATCAGCACATGCAGCTTCGACGTCCCTTCCTTGGAGGTGAAGGGTGGGTAGCCAGTGGCTTCAGTAAAGTGAACAGTTTTGTTTCTCACAGTTAAAGCGGCCCTTTTCTACAGAATGAGCAGCGAAGGCGACGCCACAGCAAGTCTCTTGGGAACAAGATGAAGGCTATAAAGCCTTCATGACTCCAGAAACAAGACCAGGAACCAGATCCAGAACCTCTCCTGCCTTTGGGGGCTAGGAAAGTTCATTGCGCCCATTCTGGAATCCGAATAATCGCATTGCCTTCCTTCCGGCAGAGCTTCTAGTTGAACCCTATGTCAGGTGTATTGGGGATTTCTAACACCACACATGGGTAAACCTGTGCAGATTAGCTTGGCAGCAGAATAGGGCTCCTTGAAGATGATGGCACCTTTTCCCCTGGAGGGGCTCGGCAGGTGTGCAAAAGAAAATTTAGCTTGGAATTTTGAAAGAGAGAGTTTGTCGCCCCCCACAAAATTCCAGCCGCTAATCATGGTGATTTGTTTGGACTTCTTTCACTCTCTTGCCACCCTGTGCAGTTATCATCATTATTAGTACTTCAGTATTATTGCTGCTTCTGTTGTTAAATAATCACATTTTAAATTCTACCTTTCCTCAGTGGAGTACAGCCCACATTTTAACCGCACAATAAAGTTGTTCTGGTTGCAAGAGCCTGACTGATCCAAAATCTCCAAGGTTGCTTTGCAGCTGAGCGAGGATTTAAAGTCAGGTCTCCCTTGCAAGAGGCCTGTGCTGTAACCACTGTACCATACTGTCCCCCGTGCCAGTGATGGTGCCCATTAGTTAGGACCGTGCGGCACCTCTCCGTCTGACCCCATGCGTTCTCTTCCTTCCTGCAGTCTCTCGTATCAATGGGCACCCGAAACTTGACAGGCACCGGGATCACCCGCCGGGCTACGACAGTTGCTCCACCGTGATGAGCAGCGAACTCGAGTCAAGCAGTTTCATCGACTCCGACGACGACGAAAACACCAGCAGGTATGGAAACGCCTCTCTGTTTGCGAGGCAAGGGTTGCTTCTGCTAAGAAGGAAACACAAAAGAGCCAACGCTTTGGGTTAGATCTGGCTTCCCCAGCCCATAATGAGAGGATGTGTTGAGCTGTGTCTGAGAGTTTAGGTTGAAACACGGTGTTGTCTGAACCCCGTTTCGCTAACAAGCCAGGGAAATTATTTTCTATCATGATAGGCATGTTGTGAGCGGAGCCGGCTGAAGCTGGGGGTCAGACTAGATGCCCCAGGAGGCCCCTTCTGACTCGTTCTGTTTCTATAACCCATGGCTTGTTTCTGGGTTGTAAACTGTGGGTTGTTCTTGGTTAAAAACCATGGCTTGTTGGTGCAGCTGAATTCAAGCAGTGCAAATAGGGACGTTCATGCGAGCGGATCCCAGTGACTGTGTTGGAGTACGATCCCATCATCCCCATCCCGCACGGCCACGCTTGCTTAACGGCACCAAATTATTCAGGGTATCCAAAACCGAACGAAAGCATTGCCAAGAGTTCCGAAGAGACCTTTCCAAAATGTTCACTGACAAATGGGGTTAATTAAATGTGTGCAAGTGTAGAAAGATGGCCTGTGGAGCAAAATACGTAATTAAATTCTAACTTCACACAGGGTGCAAGATTAGGGATATTTAGACGGAATAAATGCTGAAATTCCTGGCATGACTTAGCCAGTCCTGCTGGCAAGTAAAGTCGCTTTTTCTTCCTGTGCGTGAGTTTGTTTTTTTTCCTTCTTCTGCGGTTGAGGTTATGGCATTTCTTATTCCCAAGTTTGGGTACAGAGGGATGCTATCTTAGCATGCCGTCTTACACAAGTCTGGAAGGAAAGGTGTCTTCCAGTATTTTCCAGGCCCAATGGCCAGCTAAGGGTTGCTGGTAGGAAGCACTTAAAGCTAAAATATCGACTGTCGTTCTTTCGGTGCCTGGTTAAGACTTCCCTCTGTGCTGAGGAATGTAAAGCTCTCTAGAGTTACTCAAGGTCTCGATGCGCTTCCCGTGTCTCATGTCCGCGACAGGCCTTTTCCATATTAAATGCTTTTAGTTGCTGAATTGTTGTTTAAAACATTTAAACCTGTTTTGAAAAAGGTGGCTTGATTGTGCCATGTGCCTCCTTGAGAACTGTTGTGCACCTCTTGGAGAGCTTCGGTTGTGGGGTGTTTGAGAAATTAAATACCGGGGACGTGACCCGGAAAGAGAGCTTTAGGGCCTGATGCAATGATGGCCTGGAGTGCAGATGCTGTGAAAAAGGCAGGATCCATCTTGGGCATAATTGGGAAAGGAGTAAAAAATGCAACAGACGTGTTTTACCAACCTTAAACAAAGCTATGGGAATTAGCGGGGGCAGCTGGTAATTACAGGTCCGGAATCGAACGCAGGTCTGCTCACTGCATTTGGAAAAGGGCTTTGTTGAGTGAGAAAGTTCCTGATCCAGTTGAAGAGAGAGCCCTCTTGTCTTCGGGGCCCCCAGAACCTGGACGCAACAGAGACTCTAGACGCGATATCGCTAATCCTGCCCTCTGATCTGGGTTGTTTTATCCCAGCTGTGTGCAATCTGCCTTCTGTCCCCCTCCAGGAAGGAATTTTTTTCAAAACCCACACTAATCTGGGGGACCTCTCAGAGAGACTAGATCATGGCAGGTGTTATGTTTGACTTGTGCATGTTTCAAAAGTCCGACCAAATCCAGGTGTGGATTCACATTGCGCTTCATCTCGTTCTGCCTTCTCTTTTCTCCCACTTGTATTTCTTTGTATTCATATCTTTACATCCTCTCTTCCCCCCTCTTGTCTCCCCTTTGTCCTCCTCCTCTCCATTTACCTTCACAACAACCCTGTGAGGTAGGGCAGGCTCAGAATCATCCAGTGAGCTCCGTGGCCAGGGGGCAACTAGCAGCGAGCTCTCCCAAATCCTAGCCTAACCCTCCAGCCACTGCGCCGCACCGGTTTTGCTTGAAGCCTCCCGAAGGAACTCGGTATCTTTATTTCTCCTTCTCACACTGTGCTGAATTTCCCCTTTTGGGGTGTGTGTGTGTGTGTGTGTGTGTGTGTGTCAAGGAAAGGACTGTTTCCATTGCAGAAAGGCACGTCTTAGGACAGGACTAAGCCGATTCCCGGAGCACGGCATGTCGTGCCCAGCTAAATCCCAGCGCCTTAGCAGCAGGCCCCCACCTGCAAGCCGGGACTTATCTGCCCTTTAGGAAAAAACAAGATGCAGAGCCCCAGAGACTTCTGCCGCCGGGGCGTCCACTCCCCCTTTCCGAGCTGGCACTCGCAAGCCTGCCAGAGCAGAGGAGTGGAATGTCCCAAGGTATGTTGTTTAATATTACAAAGATGAAGTTCATAAGCGGATGAGACATTCCGAAGGTGGGGGGCTGCTGGGGAGGGAGGGACCCCTGGAAGGGGCTGGTTTTCTGCGCAAGGGCTTGAGAGGAGCAGAGTAGCAACGCTTCAGTCTGGCCCTGACTCCGGAGCAGCCGGGCTCGGTGTTTCCTCGGCGGGGCGTCCAACAGGGGCTTCATGGGGCTGGGAAGGGCAGCTCCTGCTGGAAAGGACCCAGTATCCATAGAAAGGGGAGGCATTCCTCGTGTACGGCTTGCGTGTGAGTACCTGGGTTTTATTTTCCTTTTTCTTTCTGGAAGTGTGTGTGCATTGGAAATCTGCTGCAGTGCTGGGGCGGAAGGGGATTCTTAAAAAATGCACACATGCTTGGGCAGGAGTACCTCTGAGCATAGCAAGTGTTTTTTTTTTTTTTTTCATTTGTTGGTAAGTCAGCGCAGCTAGGTCTCTTCCAAACTGGAAGAAGAAAGGTCTTTGATTAAAGAGGGGGGTCTTTAGCAGAGAGCTTAGGGGCTTGGTAGCGTTGTCTAGTTGTGGGAAAATAAGACACCCGCCTCTGATAAAGGCTTTGGTCTAATTCAGCAGAGCTGGTCTAAAGTTTTCAATGAGCAATTCAATCCCATATTTCTGGGAACTGCTTTCCCCCCTAAAGCCCAAGTTCCCTTTAATTGCACCTGTAATTAAACATTGGCATCCCTTCTTCCAAGAAGATTGGAGCAGTACCAGGTTTGAGGCTATCTCCCCTTAGACTTCAAAGCCACTATGGCTTGAGTTTGCCCAATGAGTTTGTAGTAGAAAGACTATTTGAAGCCATGTTTTAAAATCAAATCTGTCTGTCTTTTTGGCCTGGCATAGCATTGGATCCAGGGTGTAAGAGTCAGGAAATCCCCCTCAAACTGTTGTGAATTTTGCAAGCCTGTAATTTTGCAAGAAATGCTCAGCCTCAGTTTCTGGTCTGTAAAATGGGTATAATGTACCTTATGGGGTCATTTTGATAGGATAACCTGTGTGAATTGCAATTAGTGTCTCACATCACTTTCTGCCCAAGGGTTGTGTTCCAGCTTGGAAAGCTTTTTGGAGGGGGCACCGGAGGGGGGGGGGGTTGGGATGAATGCGACATGGGAGAACCAAAGGCAGAAGCTCACAGCACAATATCAAAGCATATTTTAGACAGACGCTCTGCCAGCCAGCAGTTACGCCGTAGGAGAGGCATTCCAACCTTTCCGAATCAGGAGGAAACGGCACAAAAGCCAGAGAGCGCCAGACAATCAGCAGTTGGGAAAAAGGGATGAGGTTGACGGGGGCGAGGGGTGACCCCCATCAGGAATCCCAGGTGTTGGATTTGGCCCCAGAGCTGAGCTTTTGTCATCCTGAGCTAAATGGATCTGGACTGGAGCTTGCAAGAAGCACCAAACCCCAAACCTTTGGGGATGTCTGTCTGTCTGTCTGTCTGTCTTTCTTTCCACCTTTGGTTTCCTTTAGCAAAAACAGGGCATGGCCAAGAAGTGGGGATGATGTGAGTTGTAGTCCCCCGCAAGCGGAGGGTGCCAGGTTCGGGAGGAAGTGCAATGCCCTGGCCTTGCCTTCGCTCTCACGCTGCAGTGTAAACACGGCGGGTGAGATCATGGTTTGCAGGCCGCCGACCTGAACCAGCCCATTGTTTCTGTCCGCTTTCCTTCCGTCCTTCAGAGGGACAAGGCTCGTCTTTGCCGCGCGGCTCTGTGTAATCTCTGCAGCCAGGTGCCTCCGCAGCCCGGGCTGGGCCTCGTGTCCGGTTGCTCCTCGGAGCGAGCCGAAAGCTTGGCGTGCGAAAGGGCCCCTGGAGGGAGGCCGGAGGGTCTGGGCAGATTCCAGCCCAGCAGCCCCCTCCAGGCTCCAGCCGGGCCGCCCCACGTTTCTGGAGGGCCACCCCCCTTGTCCTTTGCCTGCCATTCATTTGAGGGTTCCCTGGGGTTTGTGCAGCACCGTCTTCCACACACTTAGGGGTCTGAACGCCTCTCTGGCAGCAAGCTAGAATCGGCTGGTCTTCGGCTACGGCCCTCTTGCCCTCAGCCCTGCCCACCACTGGGACGCGGCCCCCGAGAGATCGATCGATTGATTGATTTAGAGTTTTTGTATGCCGTCCCATCACTCTATAGCCTCGGGATGGCTCACATAAATAAACATAATACAAATACAATTAAAACCTGGAAACACCCTGGCTGCACAATTAAAACCTATAGATATTATTCAGCGTTGTTAAAATGTTGTTTGAATAAAAAGGTCTTAGCCTGGCGCCGAAAAACAAATCACGACGGCACCAGGCGGACCTCTCTGGGGAGCGCATTCCATAGGTGGGGCACCACCGCAGAGAAAGCCCTCCTCCGGGTACTTTGCCTCCTGATGTCTCTCCCGGAGGGTTCCCGGAGGAGGGCCTCTGCCGCCGATCTCAAGGGGCGGGAGGGCAAATATGGAAGAAGGCGTTTCTCCACGATTGAATTCGGCTCAGCCGCCTGGCTCTGGGGGGCACTTACTTTCGCTCCCCTGACCTGCGTCTGGGATCTCGGGCAGAGCCGGCCCCACTGTCTGGCCGGGCCGGCCCCGTCGCCGTCTCGGTGCTGCAGGCATCGAGACGGAGCTTTTCCTCGGAGGGATCTCGTCCCGCTGCTCGGAGCCCGTGACCAGAGCCTCCCCTGACTCTCTCCTCTTCCTTCCCAAGACTGAGCAGCTCCACAGAACAAAGCACTTCATCCCGTCTCATCCGGAAGCACAAGCGCCGGCGGAGGAAACAGAAGATGCGACAGATCGACAGGGTGGGCCCTTCTGCTCTGTGGGGTCGGATGAGGGGTGGGGCGAAATTCCCCATCGGTTTTATTGCCGGGTTGATGGTCAGTGGGTTATTTTGGTGCGGCAAAGGCCGTGAGCAAATAGACACCATCCTTGCCGGGTTGTACCCATGTAGGGGCTTTCTGGGCCGTTTCCTGAATTACCTGGTCGCCTTTGGTGAGCCACAGGCTTCCCCAGGTAACCAGAGAGAGAAGTTTAGCCAAACAAAATGAAACGGTTCTTTCTTCGGTTTCTTTGGAACCTGAAAAGGTCGACAAAAGTATGTGCAGGCTTTTCTGGTCTAGTTTTATTCCCATTCCATTCCATTTCTTTCTGGGCCGTTTACAAAGATTAAAACCTCCCAAAACACGAATCACTTCCATCCTATAAAACCATGAACATACGTAAATGCAATTTTTAAAAATAAAACCGTCTACAGTAAAAGTCTCAGGACCTGTTGAAAGCCTTCTCAAGGGCTGTCACATGCCTAGCGATGGAGGACAGTCACACTATCATGGAAAAGAGCAGTGCTGGCATCAGGCCGGCTGGGCTGAGTAAGGCGTTCTGGAGCCAGGGGGCTACCCCTGAGAAGACCCTCCCCCAAATTCCCATGCTCTGAACCTCCCTTGGAGGAGGCATTTTTGGGGAGGCCTCCGCTAATGCCCATCATGTCGGGCTAGTTCATAGGTGTTGTGTCCGTTATGGTGGTGTTCTCACAACCAGTTTGCCCAGTTGTCCCTTCCAGTAGCCATGACCTGAGCTGCTGAAGTGGCAAAGCTGTTCCAGCTTCTCCTTTGTCATGTTTTCCAGTCATCCTCTTTCAGCAGCATCACGGACTCCACCATGTCGCTGAACATCATCACAGTCACGCTCAACATGGGTAAGCCCGTACTGCTTTCGTGGAGTCACGAAATTTCGTGCAGGCATTGAGACCCAGGATGCTGAAAGGGTGTATGAACGCCAAGCGGGGGAGAAACTTGACATGTGCAGGGAGGGCATGTCGTGAGCGGAGCCGGCTAGAGCAGGGGGTCAGACTAGATGGCCCGGGAGGCCCCTTCTGGCTCGCTCTGTTTCTATGTTTGGTTTGCCCCACTGCACAGAAAGCCGCTGCGGGAGAATCCGCTTCAAGGGTCTTGCGGGAGCTCTCCTGGGGTGTGCGGATGGGTGTTGTAGTCCAGCATAGCAGTTGGGGAAGGCTGCTTGAGAACACTTCAAGCAGCAATCCCATCGTGCATGTTCAGTCGACCATCTGGACGGTCATTTCCCCCTGCTCCTCATTTTACAGAAAAATACAACTTCCTGGGCATCAGCATCGTGGGTCAAAGCAACGACAGGGGTGACGGCGGGATCTACATCGGCTCCATCATGAAGGGTGGGGCCGTGGCGGCGGACGGACGGATCGAACCCGGGGACATGCTCTTGCAGGTGCGTGCCTTCCCGAGCCCCTGCAGTGCTGGGGCAGGCCAGGCCTGGGCCTCTGGGACGCTTCCTTTCCCAGCCTGGATCCTTTGGACAGCCCTTCCCACCAGCCCGTGGTTGGAAATGTTGGGAGCTGGGTCCAAAAGCGTCCGGAGAAGTCGGTTTTAAGGGATGCCGTTGGAGGACGGCGCCAGCTGTCGCCTCGGAAGAGGCATCCCGGAAACGAACCTTTTGTGCTGGGCTGCAGGTGAACGAGGTCAACTTCGAGAACATGAGCAATGACGACGCCGTCCGGGTGTTGCGGGAAATCGTCTCCAAGCCGGGGTAAGCTCTGCCGCGGGCCCACGCTTGCGGGGAACGGCTCGTCGTGCGAAGAACCGGGCAAGCACCCAAGTTCCTCCCTGAATTTAGGCCAGCGGGAGACAACTCTCTCCCCAGGGAGATCCTAGGAGAAGGCCGCTGTTCAAGCATGGCTGGGCCGAGAGTTCATTTGCTGTGGGACTGTACCATTTCAGGCAGCTGGCGGGAGGGAGGAGAAGCTGGGAGATGATGTTCTGGATGCTCCCCCAGCAAAAAAACATGACTTTTGCCCTTCCTGCATATAGAAAGCTAGTCTTTCAAGATGCAGACCTTTCTCCTGGAGATGCTACTTTTCTACCAGCAGGGACGTGTAGTTCTGTTTCTTTATTTAAGCGCTCTTTGCAAGGCAGAGTATTCGGTATTTTGACTATGCTACTGCTCTTGCTTTCAAGCAGTGTAGTCCAGCTTGAAACATTTATTAAAAACATGTATTAAAAATGTTTTAATAAATAAATAAATAAAAACCGGGCAGCTGACCGTGTGGTTTAGCCTAGAATCGGGGTGGGTTGCTGTCAGAATTAGAATCCTGGAACCATTTGGATGCTAAAGGGAAGTGCTCAGAAATGCATTCTTTGGCTTTATTCTTTTCTCCTCCTTTTCTCTTCCAGCCCCATCAGTCTAACTGTGGCCAAATGCTGGGATCCAACTCCCCGGAGTTACTTCACAATCCCCAGGGGTGAGTTAGCAGCCATCTCCACTGTGCTCTGGGTTTAGGGGTCTCGCTTGGACTGTGGCAAGAGGGACCCTTTGATCATGGGGACCCCTGTGTGACACTGTTCAGTGGAGGAAACAGGGCAGACAAAAGAAAATGCGGTATGTGCATTTAACCGTGTATTTCAGTGTAGGGTTGTGTGCAGGGCTGGGACTCTGGAGATTGGAGTTCTAATCCTCACTCAGCCTTGGGACTCTCAGAGGGACGTGGGACCGATCAGACTCTCAGCCCAGCCCACCTCACAGGGATGTTGTTGTGAGGATCAGACTGAGAGGTGGAAGATTACGTAAGCCACCTTGAATTTCTTGAAAGGGAAAAAAGACAGGATGTAGATATAAATAGCAATAATATGAATTTTAAATAATATAAAAATATATCATTTTATAAAAATATAAAATGTGATGCCATCTCTTGCATGCACTTAGGCAACTATGTACTAAATTAATATTCCTCCTTTTTCCCTTTTGCAAGGAAGAGCCTCTCTATTTTGTCTTCACAACAACCCTGTGAGGTAGGTGAGGCAGTGATTGACTGACTCAAGTCACCCAGCAGACTTCACGGCTGAGTGGGGACTAGAACCCAGGTTTTCCATGTCCCCAGTCCAAAGCTTTAACCACTAGACCACACTGCCCTCTTTGCAGCCTAGTAAACAGCAATCCGGCTAACTGCTTCTGTGGTTTGATTTGCAAAAAGGGTTTGCTAACCCACTTCATTTTTATCCACCCTCCCCTTTCTCTCTCTCTCTCTCCCCTTCCCAGCTGAGCCGGTACGGCCAATCGACCCTGCAGCCTGGATTTCTCATACCACGGCCCTGACGGGAGCTTACCCCCGTTACGGTATGAGTCCTTCCATGAGTACGGTCACCTCTACCAGCTCCTCACTAACAAGCTCAATTCCCGATTCGGAAAGTAAGTCACACTGCCGCCACGACCGGGCAGGTTTTCCTCCTGCACAGGGCTGGCAGTGTAGTACCAAACAAGCGAGCAAAAATGCAGACCCCCACCCAAAATAAAAGCACCGGTAAAACGGCCATCTTTCCTTTGTGGGGAGCATGAAACTTGCGGGAAGCCTGTTTTCCTTCGAGCCGAGGCATCAGCGCTTCCTCGTTCGGTTCCGTCACTGGGCAGCGACCAGCTTCCGAATTTATTTATTCATTAAAAGCTTCTCTATTTTCCATCCCCTACAGAAACATCTCGGGACGGCTTGCAATAAACGCTGGCCTCACTTTGGGAATCAAAAAGGAGAGAGCAGTTGGCCTGCTGGGTGATTCTTGTCTTTGAGTGACATGACCTTAGTTTAAAAAGAGTTTTAAAAGAAAAGAAAAATCCAAGGTGCTCGTATCTCGAGCCAGGATGCCCAACCTCAGAGCCGAGGGCCAGATGCGGCCCTCCGAGTTCCTTGGAAAGCCACGCCCCTTTCCCTGGCCCCTCCCCCTTTCTCCCTGTTCGGAGATTTCCTGGCTTCTTCATCTCCCTCCAATCAGGCCAAGACAGTGGTCTTTGGACTAAACGCTTGAAGTTAGTACAAGCCAGTTAGACTGGCTCTAAAGGGCGAAAGAGACAAATTCCAAACATTGACCCCCAAAGAGACAAGCCTTGCAGGAAGAAAAGAACCCCAAATACCCACACATGTCTGTGGCTTCCTAGCCAGTCCTGCCCCCTTTAGCCAAAGCTGGATGCTGGGATAAGTGATGCCTGATTTACCTTCCTCCTTGTTAGCATGTTCACTTTGCTTCCCACGGGATCCTCTGGGACCACCTGGCTGATTTCTGCAGCTGTTGGCATTGGCTGCAGTGTCGAAGCCCACCTTCCCCAAGGCAGAATCTGTCCCCACATTCCTAGAGGGCTCTTTTGCAGGGCTGCAAGCCTTGTTTATTCCATTTTATACTGCCCAATAGCCGGGACTATTAAAAAAAAAACAGAGAGGAGCAATTTGAAAGAATAAAGACCAGAATAACAATTGCTATGATTCCATATAGAAGCAAAGAAACATAGAAACAGGGCGAGTCCAAAGGGGCCTCCCAGGCCATCTAGTTTGACCCCCAACTCCAGCCGGCTCCACTCATGACATGCCCGCCATGTGCACGTCCAGCCTGTCCTTGAGCACCCACACCGATGGGGCCTCAACCACCTCCCGTGGAAGCCCATTCCACACCCTCGGGGACCTGACTGTCAGGAAGCACTTCCTGGCATCTAAAATAGAAACAATGTGCTGAATTTTCTTTCAGGTATGTACAGGACTTCGTTGTAGCTCCTTGAACAGTCCCGACTTAGAATCAAGCCAACCTGGTTACAGATCAAGCTTACTTGAAAAGCATTTTTCATAGAAACATAGAACAGAGCGAGTCAGAAGGGGCCTCCCGGGCCATCTAGTCTGACCCCTGGCTCCAGCCGGCTCCGCTCATGACATGCCGGCCATGTGCATGTCCAGCCTATCCTTGAACACCCGCACCGATGGGGCCTCAGCGACCTCCCGTGGAAGCCCATTCCACACCCTCGGGGTCCTGACTGTCAGGAAGCGCTTCCTGGCACCCAAATGGAACCTGGGTTCCCTGAGCTTTGCTCCGTTGGAGCAATTTTACACTGTTAGCCCAGCTCCAGGAACTTGAAACGCCTTTCTTGAGCTGAGCAGGAGAGCATGACTCGACATCAGGTGCTTCTGTACTTTTCATATGTTGACCCTGCGAACCCCAAGAGCTTCTCGGAACTGGAACTGGAACTTAGCCGCCGGGCAGAAAGGGGCTCCATGCTGCCGGTCGTAGAATCCCTTTCTCAACTGTTTCACCCCCATCTTGCACAATCCTGGGGCAGGGATTGGCACGGCGGGTCGGTCTGGCCGTCCGCAAATGACGCTGTGACGGTGTTTGCATTCCTTTGTGGCAGCCGACGTATCGGAGCCTTGGAGAGACGAGCCGGGAGCTCAGGAAAGAGGCGCCCTCGTAATCGTGTTGACGAAATGAGGGCTGCCTAGAAAGCTTTACAATAATAATTGTACGGAAGACTTGGCGGCCTGTCAGAGGGAAAACTGGCACGGTTGAGAGCGCGAGGCCGTGCAACTCGGAGCATTTGAAGTCCGCTTTCCTGTGCTGTGCTGGGGCCTCCCTTTGTGACTCGGGCCGTTCCCCACCATCGCTGGGGGGCAGGGATGGCTTTTCCCTTTATGGTCCGTGGTTGCAGGGCAAAGCGTTCTGGTCCAGCGTGATCCACCGAGCTCCGTTTGCGGCCCAAAATACCTTCTCCAGGTGGAGGTAAACACTTCTGCAAGCCATGGGGCTGTACTGCCAAATCACCACCGTGCCGCCAGTTGGACTGCAGCACCTATCACTCCTAGCCAGCACAGCTGGAAATGATGGGGATTGCAGTCCACCCTTCTGCAGGACACCAGCTTAGGAGAGGAAGCGCCCAATTTCACCCAGATCTTTGGTATCAGAGGCAGAGAATGGTGGGCCTTTGGATGCATGAAAATGGGAGAGTTGCTTTGCTTCCACAGCCCCACTTTTCTTAGCCCCCCCCCCCCCAGTTTGTTGCTCCCCACATCTTCAATTTGGAACGTCATGGAACAAAACCCACACGATGCTTCTCTTGCTACTAACCAAACTAACTTTCAGCTGCAAAGCAAGGCATGGACCATCACTCGTTGCCTGCAAGAACCCAGGAGGTTTGTGGGTAGACGGCAAGGGCCGGACGGTCACTTTCCTGGGCGTGTTTGCACGTGTCTGCATTGTCTGAACTTCAGTGCTCTTGGTCTGTCCTTTTCGACGGACAGCGCAAGCCCTGAAAAGCAGCATTTCATTAAGAAAGACAATCTTTATGACCCGTGGGGGAAAGGGTGTCTCTCTTTACCACTGCAGCTCCGGAAAAATCTCCCAAATTGTTCTGGATGCCCCGGGGCAGCTCAGGCCTAGAAATGGGAAGTTTGGTGTGTCAACAGACTTGGGGATTGCTTGGTCTGTGCAGTGGGCATCCAAGACTTCTCCTGACCCTGGCTTTCTGGCAACTCTTTGGGTTCTGGTCCTTCAAATCCCTCCTCGCCTGAGTTCCGCTGAAGCAGAGTTGCATGGAGGGGAATGTATGGGTGGATCGTGCCTCGAGGCCCTGGATCAGCCTATCTCTTACTCCACTTCCCTTAAACATGGGAGCCCGGAGTTTCTCAGCTGCCTCTCTCGCTTCTTCTGCCCTCCCACACCCTCCCCTCCCCTCCCCTGGCTGCCCCATCCGTTCCTGGCAATGATCTCCAGCCTTTCTTGATTCCCTAGAACTGGACGAATCGCCCTTGACTGTCAAAAGTGACATGGCCACCATCGTTAAAGTCATGCAGTTAGCAGATTCGGGCCTCGAAATCCGGGACAGGATGTGGTTGAAGATCACCATCTGCAACGCAGTGATAGGTGAGCTTCATGTGCTCGGGAAACATTGCCTCACAACTGCATTGCCCAGCTTGGGGTCCTCCAGATGGTTGGGGACTACAAGCCCCATCACCCTTGGCCATTGGCCATGCTGCCTGGGACTGATGGGCATTGCAGTCCAGAGCATCTGAAGGGTTCCAGGTTGGAAAAGGCTGACCTAGATGTAGAGATGTGAAGTCCTGGGCTAGCAGGGAACTAAAAATTTGGGCAAAAACTTTTTCCCAGTGGAAATCAAATCAAAACAAAACAAAACTCTCCTTCTTTTGCTGGTGGTTTCACAGTGGTCTTTTTTATATATATATAATTTAGGGTTTCACACTGTGAAGCCCATTTGTGCAAAACAACAACTTGGTTCAGCGGAACTCCCGTGGCCACGCAAGCCAACCTCGCAGGGTGGTTGTGCAGTTGCCACGGTAGGATCCTGAGCCACCTGCTTCCCGTTCCCAGGAGCAGATGTGGTCGACTGGCTTTACACGCACGTAGAGGGCTTCAAGGACCGACGGGAGGCCCGGAAGTACGCCAGCAGCATGCTGAAACACGGCTACCTCAGGCACACTGTGAACAAAATTACCTTCTCGGAGCAGTGCTACTACGTCTTCGGAGATCTCTGTGGAAGTAAGTCAGGCCCTGTGTCCAGGGCGAGCTAGTTTGCCCCCTCAGACCACACGCCCCTCACCAGGTCCGTCTGCCTACGCTGCCTGGAGAAGACAGAAGCTGTTGTCCACGAAATCCCAAGGACACCGCTGCCGCCGCCAGCTGCCCTCGAACATGCTGGCCGGAGCTGCTGGAAGCTGCAGTCCAGAACATCTGCAGGGCGTTGGGTTGGAGCAGGCTGATCTGCTCGGGCTGCCCAAGGAGCTGCTCGGGGCAGACGTTCCCCTGGCCCTGCGGGGATGAGGTCTGTTGCCTGGGCCGCCTGAACAGCACGATGGGCAAAGCGGTGTCCTGGGGCCCCTACGACAACTCCGACGAGGGTTAATTTTGGAAGTTTTCCAATTTTCCAAGGGTTAACATACACAGATTAGTATGGGGCCCCCGGGCAAGTAAGTGCCCATCAGGCCCAGGCCTCACGACCGCCCTGTCGGTTGCCCGCCTTTATTAATTAATTAATTAATTAATTAAAACATTTTGATGCCGCCCCATTCGCCGAAGCCTCGGGGCGGCTTACAACAAATAAGTTAAATAACATTTTAAAATATGTACGTTAAAATAAATTACAAATATACAATACAAAATAAGCCGCCCTGGCCAGAAAAATTCAATAATATTAACATTTAAAATGCTGCTTGAATAAAAAGGTCTTTTATCCTGCTAACGGCCTGCCTGACGCTCTCCCCGCTAGATCTGGCTGCACTGAACCTGAACAACGGTTCCAGCGGCGCTTCGGACCAAGACACCCTGGGTCCCCTCCCACACCCGTCTGCGCCGTGGCCACTGGGGCAAGGCTATTCTTACCAGTACCCTCTGGCTCCGCCGTGTTTCCCACCGGCCTACCAGGACCCGGGCTTCAGCTACGGGAGCGGCAGCGCAGGGAGCCAGCACAGCGAAGGTAAGCTCTCGGAGGGCGGGGGTCTTCCGGCTCCTGTCCATTTCTGCTGGCTGTCGGCTTGAGCCCCCTCCGCTCCCATTTCCGTTCCCCGCTTTCTCTTCTCGTGCTCCTGCGTGTGCCTCCTGCATGGAATAGAGAATGGCCGTTTTCCTCGGGCGGCTTTGCAGAAATCTAGCGGTTTGCCCGCTCTCCAGACCCAGGAGCTGATCTGTGCTTTCTAGCTTCCATGGCTGTGTCCTGCGGGTGGTCTCATAAAAGTCTGGCTTCTCATCCCAAAGCTATGCCGGATTGATTGCAGATTTGTATTCAGATGTGTGTGGTTCTTTTTGCCAAAGTCAGGGCCGGCCCTCTCCCTGGGCAGAGTGCGGCAACCTCAGGCGGCAGATTCTAGGGGGCAGCTCTGGCAAAACCGTGCGTCATTTGCCCTGTGACTGGTAGTCCTTTCACACATTCGGGAGGGTAGAGTTTTCCATGCAATGCAGCCGCTCCTGCTCCCACTTCAGAAAGTTCCCTGCAGACCTCGGAGCAGTGGAAGAGACAACCTTGTTAAATGAGGGTAACATAGGTGTAAAGTTAAAATAAAATATGGAGCCAGTCTGGCCAAGTTTAGCATCTCGGATGGAGGGTGTAGGTTGAGCTGGCTGTGCTGAAACTTCTTCTGTAGGAATGACAGGCACCTGGGAGCTGCTCAGGGCTCAGTTTGGCGCTTGTTTCCGTCTCCTCACGCATTTGCGGGCCGTGTCACTGTAAGTGTGCGAAATCAAAAAGATCACTCATTCTGGCATCCATCCGCACTCAGGATGTATGTGGCCGCAGCGATGCCTTGCCTTGCTACATGTTCTAGCTAGACTGCTGCAATATGCTTCCCCCGGGGCTGCCCTTGGAGATTGTTTGGAAATGGCAGCTGGTGCCTTCCGGGGCATGCTTGGAGGACCACGTCTGAGGACAGTCGCGTGGCACCAAAATTAGCATGCCGAGCTTAAAGCCCCAAATGGCTCGAGTGTCTCTGAAAGGCCCCCCGCCCCCCGCCCAGTGTCTGAACTTGCTCATAGATTATAGTCTTTGCCCGAGGCCCCTGCTCTGTGCTCCACCACAGAAAGGGGTTTGTTTGGTGGAAGTGGAGCATCTCCCTGCCTGGAGGGGCAAGATCTTGTCCCTTCTTTGCTTGTTTCCCAGGAGCAATTCCTTGACAGATTTTAAGCTTCACTTTCTGAAGGTTTTGTTTGTTTGTTTTCTTTATCTAAAGCTTTTATAGACTGTCCATCTACTGGCATCTCGGGACGGTTTACCACAAGCAGGCCTCGCATTGTCCTTGTGGTTTAAATGTTTTGATATTCCTTCTGCACACTGCCTCGTGGGCCTAAGGGCCAAAAGATGGGCTGCAATGTATTTTTATTTCTTGTTTTAGTAAAACAATGTTCCCTTCAAATGGGGGACCCATTCATTCTGCTCCAGGTGCCCTATAAAGGGAGGCAAGTCATACAACATGAGCGAGCTATGAAATAGCCTCTGATCTGCATAGACAAAGTTTTTTCCCAAACAGAGCTGGCATAATGTGGCGGTGCAGAGAATGAACTGAGAATCGGGAAGTTCTGAGTTCGAATGTTGCCTCGGTCATGAACTCACCTGGTTGCCTTAGGCTCGCTGCTCTCACTTAGCCTCGATGTCCAGTGGAGGTCCGGGAAGAAGGAACCCCAACCTGCTCCACTCTCAGCGCCCCCTGGTGGTCCTTTGGGTGGGAGAGGTGCAAGGGAACAATGCCTTGGTCCAGTTTTCCAAAAATAATTCCTCCCCACAGAGTCCCCAGCCCTCTATGGTACATCTGATCCTCACCTGCAGGGGCTTCCCTACCAGATCCGTGAGCCATTCTGAGATCGCCATGTGGTGACCCCTTGACTCTGTGTTGTCTGGGCTGATCCAGACGACTTCTTGGTGCGGGACAAAACGCACGACGGATACTCTGCTGCTTTGGCCTTTCTGAACTGGTTTGCTGCTGTGGCTGCTGCTGTTGTCTCGATTCTCTTGCCATGGGGATCTTTCTCGGTAACGCTTTTTCCCTTGTTTTGTCCTGAGCAAGCCTTAGACTGAAGGATTTCATAAAGGAATGGCTAGGATGGGTAAGCATCTCACACCTCCATGTAAACAACGATTGATCCATGGCATGATCATCTAGATTCTCATGACCTCCGTCTCTGCCCACCCTGAAATTTCTAGCTTGCTTCCCGTACTCTCTCCCTGCTGTGTATCCTCTTCTTTTGAGTTTCCCCTGCCATCTTGGCCAAGGCTCTACAGGGCACCAAACTTCTAATGGAGCTCAGTTGGGGATTCCCAGCACTGATCAGCAGATATCAGTCAACAAATAACAGTTTACAGGTGGCCAGATTTACAAAGAGTGAAGATACAGCTCTTCTACCCATGGAGAGCTCCAAGAATTCCTCAGCACCATGGAAAGCGCTGAGACGTTGATCTCTTCAGCACCATGGATAGCGCTACAGGTCTTTCAGCACCAAGGAGAGCGCTGGTGGTTCCCATTCTTCCAGCCATGGAGAACTCCAAGAATTCTTGAAGCTGTTCTCCCACCCACCGCCGCATCCCCACCACACGCTGCACTCATGAACCCAACTTTTCTATGACATCCAAAATGGGGGAATGTGGTGTCAAAATGTGCTGACAACCATGATCTTCCAACCATGTTTTGATGCTGGCTTCCAGATCGTGGTTAGCACTTCAGTGTCAAACCTCACACTTCCCCATTTTGGCTGAGGTGGGGGACTATGTTTTAATTTAGATGGGATCGGAGGCACCGGAAGGAAAGTATCCATCAGCAAAGGTTGGGATGTCCCGATTGACTGAAAGACGGAAACAGCACTGGTCCAGTTAGAGATTCTGCTTCAACATTTTGATGCGGTGCCCACTTGTAAACAGAAATAGAACTTGTTGATCTGTTGGGGCTTCTCAGATAGAATAATTCCATGAAGCACTATTCCCCAATTGCTCTGGCGGGGTTTGTTGGTTAGATCACAGACTGAACCTTTGCCCTGGCTTCTATGTTTCACCTACCCCTCCCCTGCCAGGTTGCCTTTTTCCAAACAAATGTTGTGTCATTGCTTCTGCGGATCATACGACCTGGTATTTGAGCATCCATGCATGAAAGAAAGTCGTCTGCTTTCGTCCCTGTAGTTGTACCCACCCCGACCCCATAGCCCTCCATAGCATGCAAACCTCTGCGAACCTTTCTGGAAGCTGTTTCATCCTTTCTGGGGGGGAAGGACCGAGGGTCTTGTGGGGAAAGGCAGTGCTGAGCCAGCCTACACTCCTCTTTTCCGTCTGTTCACATCCCGTCGCCCTCTCTCTTCTCCCCCGCCCCGCCCCACCCCACCCCGCCCCAGGAAGTAAAAGCAGCGGCTCTAACCGAAGCAACAGCGGGAGCAGCCAGAGGGTGCTGAGCCGGGAGAAGGATTGCAAGTCGGCCGGCAGTGGCAGCGAATCGGATCCCGCCACCCGGAGCGCCGGAGGGGGCAGCGTCGGGCGGCGTGAGCGGCCCGCCAGCCAGCTCAGCCGCCGCAGCCACGCCTCCGCCTCCCCCAGCGAGAGGAGCCCCCGCAGCCACCACTCGTACGGGCCTCCGGGTGTGCCCCCGCTGTACAACTTCCCGAAGCTGGGCTCCAAAGTCTACGGGACCAGTGGTCCCCCGGGGGGCCCGCCGGTGCGAGAACTGAGCTCCGTCCCTCCCGAGCTGACCGGAAGCCGCCAGTCCTTCCAAAAGGCCATGGGCAACCCGTGTGAATTCTTTGTTGACATTATGTGAACGGAAGTGCCTTCGGAGAGTCTGCGCGGAGGATCTCTTGTGAGGGTCCCTTTTTCGTTTGTGAATTGATGTTGGGCGTTTCGAAAAGAGATGGGAGAAGAGAAAGAGAGTAATCCCTCTTTGACTGTCCTTTGCATGTGCCATCTTCCAGACTCTGGCTTTGTGTTTCGCAAGCAAAGAAGAAAGAGGGGTTGTGGGATGTTAGATATCTACAAAGCAGTGGAATCTTCCCCCTTTTTTTCTTTCCCTTTTTCCCATGATTTTCTGAATGTGATAGATTGGTGTTCTCTTCACATACCATAACGAGTTTCGTTCTCTGTGGCATCTCTTCCCAGTGCAATTTTAATATGTCCTTGGCTTCATCAAGGAAGTGTACCTTATATTGTACCTTTAAAAAGAAGAAAAGAAGCAACCACACACTATTATCCAGTCATGCGTATTTGCACCTTTAAAAAAAATGCTCTTGTTTGTTTATTTTGCTCCAGCCAGGGAAAAGAAATGTCTGTTTTGTTTTGATTATGTTTTAATGTTTTGCTATAAGGACAGTGTTAGACACCAGCTGTAAAACCTAGCGCTTGTTCAAGCAAAATTGTGTCCCAGTGGTCCTTCCCCAGCTGTGGATGGAAATCGGACTTCCCGTTTGCTTGGGATCCTGGGTCCTGGCTTCGCCCTGCCGGTTCTGTGTGCACAGCGGGTGCCTGGATCAGTGCCAGGTCTTTACTCCAAGAAGGAAAAGCCGCTTGGACAAGGGCTGTCCCAGGAAACTCGGCCACGCGTCTGCCCACCTCTGCCCTTCTTGCTTCTCCACACAAGCGCCCAAATTCAGGGCTTTGGGTTTTCCACCCCAAACCACAAACCCTTCCTGCGTGTCGTGTCGGGCATTCACGTCCTGATCGAAGAAGAACTGTAGTGTTAGATCCAGACAGCCTGGCCTAGTAATCTCCAGCCCAGGCAAGGGAGAGTTGTGGGTATGGCCTCTTGCTCGCTCGCCCGGTGGGTGGCGCTGTTGCTCTTTTCCCCAAAGGGGGCACCAGAAATCCCTTTTTCGTTGCTTTCTCGCCTGGATCCGCTGGAGGGAAGCTTCCTCTGTGCTGGAGGGAAGCGTGGCTGTGCACGGAGAGAAGTCTGTCCTGTTCCCATTCGGGGAGTGGTTAATGCGGCTTGCCCCTCCAGCATACGCTTTAGAAACGGTGCAAGGTGATCCTGAAGAGAGCGTGGTTTTCGGAATGTGTTGGAGGCTAGGAGCATCCTTGGAGGTGAGCCTCCGAGCGAGCGGAGTTGCTCCGGAATAAGGCGCTGGCTGCCGTCTCAGGCCTTTGACTGGCATGTCATTTTGTAGCCCAGTGTGGGCTTGGGCTCAGGTGAGGTTTGTCTGATCTCAGCAGCCTTCCTTTCAGCAATTCCCCTGTCTGGACTGTGGCCCTGGCACCCCGGTAGGACGGGGGGGGCGAGGACTCGGTGTGACTCGAGGGTGGGGGCACAGAACTGCAGGTCCAGGAACGAGGGACCGTCTGCAAGCGGAGCAGGTGCTTTTTGCGTGGTGCAGGAAGGGCATCTTGCGTTCTTCCACGTGGGTTATCTTTCCCTGACTAAATTAAAGGGAAAGAGGAAAATCTCTCCCTACTCCTGGCTGGAATGTCACAGGATCGTCTCCCCGCCGCCCGTCTCGAGAAAATGTCTGAGACTTTCTTCAGCACTCCACCCCCCAACACAGACCACCATGCAAAAATTTACCTGTATGTCCCCCACCATTTGGGGGAGGCAAGGAGGAAAGAGAGGGCGAGTTAAGGGGAGAAACAGCCACAGAGGTAACTTGGAAGAGTGGGGTTAAAAAGAAACAAGTCTGACTGGCAATATCATGTTGTGTGAGGTGCCAGCCAGTTGGTTGTGCCCTTTCCCAGCATGCTCCATTCCAGTTCCCAGCCAAAATTCGGTTTTCTGCTGGGAGATGGCAGGAACCCCCCTTTACAAGAAAAGAGGGTGGAAAGACTGATAAATGATTTTTCCATGCACGGATGTTGGGAGTGTGGCGCTTCGCCTTTATGCTGGATCAGCTGCTCTTGCTGTCTGTTCAAATGACGGCTGTCCAAGATCTTGGATGGGGTTAATTTCCCAGGCCTGTGAATTAATTTGAGATGGGACTTGTCCTCAGGCAGAGCCGGGATGGCGCAGTGGTTACAGTGTTGGCCATGGGACTCTGGTCCCCCGGGTTCTAGTCCTCACTCAGCCGGGAACCTCACCACTGACTTCAGTCCAATATCTGACCCTTAGCTTAGCCTACCTCACAGGGCTGTTGTGAAGATAACATGCAGACTCTTCTTAGCCACCTGGAACTCCTTGCATGAGAGAAAAAAACTCAAGATATGCATGTAGCAGTGAATTTAAAAAACACTGATCTAGCTGAAATGTTCATGCAGCATTTTTTATTATTATTGTGTTGTATGTTTATCCCTCCTCTTTCCCTCTGGTGAGGAGCCCAATGCAGCTTTCAAGGGTCTCCTCCGCTCTGTTTTTATTTTCACAACAGCCCTGAAAGGTAGGCTAGTTTCAGAGTGAGTGACTGGCCCAAGGTCACCCAATGACCAAGTGGGGACCAGAACTGGGTTTCCCAAGTCCGCAGTCTGGCTCTCAGACTGCACACAACCCATTGTATACTTTCCCCCCGTAAATCTCCGCATGAAAAGTTTAATATGTGACCCCCTTGGGCTGTGGGGCTGAACTTGATCCAACTTTGCAATATGGTCCTTCGTGTACGAAGATGTCCTACTGGGCCCAGTTGAAAGCCATGTGTGGGATGTGTAGCTTTGGCTGATGACAGATGTAATATTTTCCAGGTTGAAGACAAAAAGTAATATTCTAAGGATTACATCAGTCTTCGCCCTTCAGAGGCCTGGCCGTCTCCCTTGATGACCTCGTGTTTCCCCTCCTCTTTCAAAGTCATTCATCCCTGAATGTTTTCTCCAACATGACTGGACAATCCCCTCCTCACCGCATAGCTTCAAACTTCTTGTCTCATTCTGGTTCTGAGTCTGGTCTTAGGTCAACTTGGTGACCCCTTCAGTGGGGGAACTGACAACCTACTGAAGAATTCTGGTGGAGTTCGCTTTGGTTTATCCTTTTTAAAAACTGCATTTAACTGGATTGCAACGAGTAACTTCAAAAGAATGATGAATTCTAATCATTGATTAGAAAGATGTGTAAAGAATTTATGTACAATAGAGAAAATTGGAAAGATGTTCCATAAGGATAAAGGAGATGGAATTCTTTACCTCCTTCTCCTAGAATTGGTTCAGCTCCAAGACATAATGGCATGAACTGCACAGTTCCCCATTTTAAATGGCAATTCCATACTTTGAATCCTTTCTTTTTGTAGATATTGTATCAAAAACTCAAGTTGTCTGTATAGTTAATATATAGCTACTTATGTGTAAATGCTATTTTAAAAACTAAAAAAAAGCTTTTAATTTTATGTGAGAAATGAACTCCTATGTCTTTTCTTCATTTGCGGCGATACTTTATGAGAGGCATAATGAGGTGGTGTGTTTGTTTGTAGCACAGTTGACATAGTCTTCCTGTCCCGAATTTTTAGCAAGGAAAAGGTTGCCATTTTCCCCTTTTCTGCTTGCCCCCTGGGGTGTGTGTGTGTGTTTCTTTGGAAGTTGAGTTCTCATTTCTGGTCAATTACCTTTCATATGCAGCAAGCTTTCCCTTCCGCTACAGACAGTACCCTCTGGTTGTGAAAAGCGACAATAATTCCAGGCAGCCTTTGCTCAACACATTATCATGTTAATTTCAGTTGGCTCCTTGCATTAGAGTACCATGAAAGAGAGTTGCTATGAAGTTGTTTGAAAAGCAGAAGGAAACTCAATATATATGTAGCTTTGAAAAATGGGTATTTTCTCTAAAAACTAAATTAACATTGCAACTTAAATCAAGTATTTACAAAAGAATTGTGCTTGTTTTTGTGAGGCGATGGTGTGTCTGGGGTGCTCTGAATTGCATCAGTATTTGATCACTGGAAAGTACGTTGTAATTGGAGCATCTTTGTTTTATAATAAGTGAGCCTACCATCAGAGAGAAATGTTGTTTCTTCTATGTTTGTGTAGCCGGCATTAACTTCTAAAGTGCTTTAATTTCATTTCAGTATAATCTCTCTCTCTCTTAGCTGGTCTTCAATGCTTTAACAGACTTTTCCTTCCTAAAATGTCCTAGAGGGTATATCATTTGCTGACTTTTTGCATATTCATTTCAGGTTGAACCCAGAAGGGGGAACTATTTGCATGATGGGCCAGTACTTCCAGTTCTGTTCATGTCCTTGGCAAAAAAGCGGGGACGGAACCAATATATTTGAATGTCTGAAAAATTAACCTTTTGTATTACACCTTTGCGTCTCCCCGGGCCGTCTTTACGCCTGGGCCTGATGGGCACTTGCCTGTGGGCCCCATACTAATCTGTGTATGTTAACCCTTGGAAAATGGGAAAACTTCCAAAATTAACAGTCGTTGTAGCTGTCGGAGGGGCCCCAGGACACTGCTTTGCCCGGGGCCCGTCATGCTGTTAAGGCAGCCCTGGCGCCTCCCTCTAAGCAGTAAACAGACCTGGTTGCAACCTCAGACTGGGACAAAGGTGGTGAACACAATGGATGATACACTGGGAAACCTCTAAATCACAATCAAGGGGGATGAGAGCGTGTAGATCTGCATCAGGTTTGCATATGTAAATGGATATGCGTTGATGCACTTTTGGAAATGATTAAATGTACGAAACTTCCTGCAAGGCATTTCTTCGCAGTGGGCCGGACCGTCCGGGTGATCTGAGTGGCTCGCTCAGTTTGATTTCCAGGTGCGAAGATGAAGGAGTAAATTCCCGGCCTGTTTTCTCCCTTTGCATGGCTCCTGGGGTTGGATCCACAGAACGTGTATGGGATTTAAGGCCGGACTAATGCCAGTGGTGCCCAGGCTCAACTGATTTAGGCTAGGCTTGACTCCCTCCCTTCAAACAGAGGAGGCCAGCACAGCATGGTTGTCTGCCGTAAGCGGGTCGCATTGGCCACCCCCTTGCCAAGTCGTTCCTACTCTGCCTGGCGCCCATCCTTGCCTGTCTCTATGCTGTTTACAGTGACGGATCTGTATCTACACGGGACTTAAAACAAACACTTTAAAGCACACACCCCGATTAAAATGCTGTTAGACTGATGATCCACTCAAGTTCCCCATCCGCGGCCCGGTCCCTGTTTCCCTGTCGGAGCTCCCCGTGGAGTTAATCTTGGGAGTCTTTGCTCCGCACCTTTCCTTGGTCTTGAAAATAGTCGGGAGTGTTCCATTCCGGCTTAAAGTGGAGGATGTAGCTCTTGGGCAGGTAATAGGTTGCGAGCTGCCCGAAGACGCATGCTAGGACGGCGCCCATGTGGACGGCGGGCCGGTGCACCTCCTTGACGGTGGCGTAGGTGGGTATGAAGATGACCAAGGTGAGGAAGTAGGCGATCGCGGTGAAGGTGATGCCCCGGGCGATGTTGTACTTCTTGGGTGGCGTCCCCACCATGAACGTGCAGAGGAAGGCGGTGAGCGCCAGGAGGCTGTTGTGGCTGTGCACGACGGCAAAGCCAGCCCAGGACTGTATGTGGCAGTGGATGAGCACCTGGGTGGCCAGGAGCTGGTGGTTCTTCACCAGGACAGGTGGGGCGGCGTAGAGGTACCCGAAGCAGAGGAGGGCCTCCGTCAGGAAGCTGGAGGCCACGATGGCCCAGGGCCGCCTCTGGATCAGGGCGTGGAGGCAGGTGGGGCGGCTCTCGGGGAAGTCGTGGGCCAGCATGATCTGCAGCGCCTTGGCCGTGAGGGTGGAGAAGCAGGGGTTGAGCCCCAGGGCGAAGGCCGCCTGCCGCGCCTGGCAGATGGCCGGGCTTGGCTTCCCGACGTGGAGCCCGCTGCTGACGCAGAGGAGGGCCAGGCCGAGCAACGCCAGGAGACACATGTCTCCGCCGGCGGCCTGCACCGCCGGCGTCCGGCGGTTCTTCAGGAAGAGCGCTGCTGCCAGGCAGGAGAGCACCGAAGCCGAAAGCGAGAGGAGGAGCAAGAAGATGGCGAGAGGTTCCAGCCAGAAGAAGTACTTCTCGCCACGGTTGTAACACCGAGTGCTGTTCCTGGGGGACCACTGGCTCTCGGGGCAAGGGGAACAGGTGGAGTCATCTGGAAAAGAGCAGGGCAACGGGTGATTCAATCCATGAATAGCCCAGTGTTGCTCAGTTTTCAAATTAGTCTTTGAGAGAGAAATACCTCCGTGTTTCCCGCCCACTGGGGACTTATTCTAGAACTCTGGTTGGAAGGAATTCTGTTCCTCCGGTGCTTAGATATTGTTACCTTTTAATATGGCAGAGCAGAAAGACCGCCCTGCAATGTCTGGAAGATCTGGAAGAGGTGGATTTCACCGCCTCTGCTCAAGAACGGCTGCAGGGCGGAAAGAGGGAGGTTGGCCCAAGCGCTTCTCACCTGCGGAACTGCTGAAGGTGCCGGACTCGCAGCCGATGCAGTCATAGCAGCAGAGGTGGAACCCTTTCATCCGACGGAGCTGCCCGGGCTGACAGGATGTAAGGCAGTCTGAGCGGGGCGGCTGGGCGGAAGGGGAGACGAGAGCAGCGCCATCAGCCCCTGCCCTTGGGGTTCCTGGCTCAGCTTCCCTTTCCTCCCTCCAACCACCACCAGACGCGGGTCCTTGCTTTGCAGAACGCGCTCTGTGGATTCCCGCCACGAATCCCCCAGCTGAGCAGCTTTGCTGAACCCGGCCTAGCGCCGACTCCCCACAACTCTCCCTATGAGCTCATTTGGGTCCCAATCATGCTTCCGTTCCACACACGCTCCTCATCCCACCGGGCGCTTGGCTACGCAGCCTGGCTCTCGAGGGAGGGGCTGTTCTCCATTCAAGGACCCCCCCTCCCCAGTCTCAGCAGCCTCTCCCTGAGGCTGTCTCCCTATTGCTCCTGTCTGGACCTCCTCCGTGTCTGTCCTTGGGCTCAACTCTTCTCATACCGTCTCCTTCCTTTGCTTCCCGGGAGCTAGAAGAACTTCCTACTTCTCAGTCCCATTCACGTATTCGAATCCACACAAGTGGAAGGACTAGTTTTCTGCCCGAGCCCGCCCTTATGCTTGCTCTCAGTATGATCAGCCTCCACCAGGAATAATCGACCCGAGGCCCAAATTCTGATCTGGAGAAGGCACTTGGAGTGGCGTCCGAGGCCTTTCTCTCGCTTGCGCCTTTACTTTGTGATCTTTGGTGTGGAACTGGATCAAGGATGGATCAATGCTCAGCTTGTGGCTGAAGTTCCCGACAGTGAAATGATTGACCCGGTGGCCCTTCCAGCGCCACACAATGATGTCATATCCCGGGTTGATGCTGTGGGACTGGTCAAAGTGGAATGACTGGTTGCTGACGTTGATGCTGATGGTCTTCAGCTTCTCCAGCAGCTGCAAGGGGAGCAACCGGGACCATATGAGTAAATCCCAAAAGATGTGGATTTGCCCTCTTCCCTTGTGCCTCCTGGCTTGGCCTCCATCCTTGGGAATGTCCTAGGCCAGTGCTGGCGGCCCTTTTAGAGACCGAGTGCCCAAACTGCAACCCAAAACCCACTTATTGATCGCAAAGGGCCAACACTGCAATAAAACCTGCAAACAGGTTTTGGTTTAGAAAAAACACCTCACAGCCGGTCCAAGCAAATACGTATATTTCCCCTTGCAGCGCACTGACCGGCCATGCGAAAGCTCAGACGAGTCGCGGCTCGTGACATCACTGCCTGGTGCCGCTACTCCTTTCCGAGCCTGCGCACGGCCCCTGTGTGCGCTGTTACCCGATGCTTGGCTGCTGGGGCGACGCTGGGGCGACCGGGCTCGCGTGCCGACGGAGAGGGCTCTGCGTGCCCGCTGTGGCACGCGTGCCACAGGTTCGCCACCACTGCTCTAGTCCCTTTCGAGGAGGAAAATGCAGCACTACCATCACTGAATGGAATAGAAACCCTGCTGTGGAACACCGTCCGATTCACACAGAGCGGAATCCCCAGTGCTGCATTTTCCTCCTCTTTAATAAGGAGGAGGAAATAATAAGGCGCTTTAATAATAAGGCGCTTTAATAATACAAAAAGTAAAATAAAACACAGCATCCTGAAAATTCAACTAACAATAAAACCCCAATTAAAACAGTCAGGTCTTAAAACATTGGGAAAATCAAAAGGTTTCGGCCTGGCACCGAAAAGAATAATGTGGCGGCTCCAGGCAAACTTCTGGGGAGCATATTCCACAATCGGGGTGCCACCGCAGAGAAGGCCCTTCTCTGGGTAGCCACCCTCCTAATCTTCAGGGAGGGCACCCAGAGAAGGGCCTCTGCCCCACATCTCATGGGGCGGGCGGGCACATTTGGAAGGAGACGCTCCTTCCGGTAACCAGGAATAAGCCGCGTGCCTCCAACTCTGCCAGCCCCATCCGAACCCTCCTGCCGCTTCTCACGCACCTGCCATGGCTTGATGCTCCTCTTCTGACACCACCCAAGGCGGCAGTGCAAAGCCTCGTGGAGCGCGTGCGCCACGCTGTACACGGCGCTGTACACGGCAAAGGTCTGCCGGTGCGCCAGCACCATGCTGAGGTCCTGCTGGGTGATGTGGTTGCACAGCTTGCACGGCCTCCCCAGGACGTTGGCACCCACGCGGCGGGCCTCCTCCTCGGAAGCCTGGCAGAAGTCGTCCCGCTGGCTCTGCTCCAGGAGACGGTGGACGTAGTCCTGGAAGCCCGGGACCTTCCCTCCCTTGATGACGAACCCGAGGACCGTGCCGACGGACCGGATGTTCTCCAGGCTGATGACCACTTCGGACATCACCCAGGCTTCTGTGGCCAGCCACACCTTCTTGCGCAGCCCCAGAGCCAAGCACACTTTGAAGAGGGCCCGGACCGGCCGGTCGTGGGAGAACAGGATGACGACGTTGACCTTCGTGTCGTTGATGGACCTGACCGCTTGCTGCAGCTTCTTCTGCAGGTGGGGGCTGGCCATGTCCGCCGGGATCAGCCCCTCGTAAGCCACGCAGATGCCCTCCTTGGCCATCGCGGAGGACAGCAGGCTGAGGCCTTCCCGCCCGTAGTCGTCGTCGCTTCCCACGATGGCGATCCAGTTCCAGCGGAAAGCCAGCAGGAGCGCGATCATGGCTTCCAGGCCACGCTTGTCACTGGGCACGGTGCGGAAGAAGGAGGGATACCTCTCCTTGTCGTTCAGCGCCTCTGTCGTGGCTCCGTAGCTGATCTTGGGGAGCAAGGGCGAGGGTCAGGACAAGTGTGCAGGCCGACAAGCTCCTCTGGAGTCCCGTGAGACTTACTCCCAGGTGGTGCGATAGTGGAATCGGGGCTCACGGGGACACAATACCAGCCCGGTCTTGCCGGAAGGGATGCTGGCCTCTCTTGCCACCCTCCAGTCTGCAGCCCACAGTGCAGTGGGGAGAGACAGGGATGGGAAAATGCATTTTCCCAGCAACAATGCACTGTTCCCAGTTGTGCCGCAAACCCTTTCGGAATGACGTGGTCTGGAATGGGCTAATTGGACCCAGGAGCTTTACAC